AGTCCCAGAAAAAAGACTTCAGGTTTTATTTGTTAAATGGCGCGGTGGACTCATGAATATTCACCGTATTATTCTTTGTATGTTCCTGTACATATTTAACAGTGAAAAATTGATACCCAAAACCACAAAGGGATGTTTGTAACACAGAGAGAAAAGTTAAAAGTAAGGCACTGGACAGGGGGAGAAACTAAAATTAAACAGACACAGTTGGTGGCAAATGTAAAACAGCTAAGGTTTGGAAATAGGAAAAGTAACATTTTAAAATGTGGATGTCAGAAAAATGTATTTTTCCCTTAAAAATTCAATCATATAATGTCTACTTTTTAAGAGAGACATGCTACCAGACTTCCTCTTAGAAAATGATTTCTTGGCTAAAGACATACACACACGCACGCACCCTCCCTGTTACAATTCAGCCCATCACAGCACCGCGGCGTCTGTAATAGTTTTTCAATTGGACACATTCTATACTCTGCCTCAGGGCACTCGGGTGAAAATGAACAGATTTGCAGGGTTAATACTGTAGTTAGACTGTGACCTCATTCAGCACGGCTCTAACACTGCCAGGTCTATATGGAGGGAGAAAAAAAATCAAAGCATAACTGATCGGTTGAAGGATTCCAGATTTCTCAGAATATATACCATTTACCTTGAAAATCACATATGTATGGATATTGCTACATTTAAAATTAAACCAGTGTTTCCTCAGCTGGGGGTGGGGTGGTGGGGGGGCGGAATTAACCCTTAAGGGTGAGGAGGGAGTTTCCGGCTGGCTGGGCTCAGGCAGACTCTACAACTTGAAGCTGGAACTGGTCTTCGGTGAGCTCTTCTGCGAGGCTCTCTCTTCCCCATTCTGGAAGATTTCTGTGTTCTCTATTTTTCCCCTTAGTTATAATCATTTCTAAGGCACTAACTGCTATCAGCTAATGGAGCAAAGGATCTTCACTCTGTGTTTTCTGTATTGGTGCAGGCTGCAAGAACTTTTTAAAGTCCATGGGCTGGGAGGTCTTGGCGCTGGTAGGAGGCACTCAGCATCCATTGCATCCACACCAGATGCTTCATCTAACACGACTGTGGCTGCCTCCTTCCCTTGCCAATGACCGGAATTGACACTTTCTCTTCTTCACCTGGACACCAAGGTCCCCGACGGGAAGTGGCTACTTCCCTGCCAACCTAAGGATGAAGCCAATGCCCACGGTGGCTAAGCTGAAAGCTGGAGAGAACCTGGGTCCCCACTGGCACTGGTGAGACACAAATCAACCAACTCGGAGCCGCCAATCTCTAGATTTCCTGATACTTGGGAAAATAAAATCATTTTTAAAGCTACCTGGGTTGGGTTTCTGTTACCTCTCCTGATACCTGCCCCTCCTTTATACCACCGCCTCCCCTTGAGGCCACTTGGTTCTGTGAGACTTAGCTGTGGTGCCGAGAACAGCCGCCTGCTAACAGATGCAGCAGAATTTTCTATCATATTATCACCATTCTTCAACTATACCTTCCCATCTTCACCCATCACCATCTCAGTTTGTATACATCTTCAGCATTACTTCCGATGAAATGCAAACCATAAATTTTAACCAGAGAGAATGTAAGTGTCTCGGATGTATCATTGTCACCACCAGAGAAACAGCTCAGAGCACTGGGGTGTATTTGGAAAGGTGGCCAGACAGACAGACAGACAGAAAGGCGTTTCTGATAATCGCCCTTCTGGAACAGACTCTTCACCCAGGCGAGCTGGAGGGGAGGAACGGTTCCCTCCTTCCACAATATTTGTTAACATCCCCTAAGCACCAGACACTGTACCAAGGGATGGATGCATATACAGCAGCGAACATGACAGACTGGTCCCTGGCCTCACCAAACTTGTTCATAGGCAGAGAGGAGCCAGGAAACGAGCAACTACAACCAAGCCGGGAAGGCAGCTTGCTGCTCCGGCTTCACTGAGGGGACGGCGACCCAGGCTTGGGGGCTGGGAGGAGGGGTGGGGAAGGTTCCCTGGAGACAGTTGCAGCTGAGATCTGATGGATGAGACATCAGCACACGATGGGATGCAGGAAGGAGAGCACGTGGTACAATCTAGAAATTAAAATGTCAGCACACTATGAGGGTTCTCCCCAAGTGTGGAGAGAGCAAACAGAAGCTTGTCGGATGGTGGTCAGAGAAGCACAGAATTAAACAGTAACTTACAATGAAAAAATTAAATAAACCCACCATAACAATCTTAGGACTGGAAAAGGGGAAGAGGAAGCAGAAGGAAGCTCAAACAGCGCTGTCTAGTAGAACTTCCTGCAAGAATGGAAACATTTGGTCTCCGCACCATTTAGTGGGGTAGCCACTAGCCACACGTGGCTATCTGAACACGTGAAGTGAGGCTGGTGCACCTGACAGACTGAATCTGGCATTTCAATTTATTTCAACTAATGTAAATTTTAAGGTAGGTAGGCCACGTGCGGCTAGGAGCTGTCATTCTGGGCAGCGTGGTAAACCCTGTTTGAATTTTTCTGAAGATTTGGAAGCCCAAATCGTGACAAACTTGAACCCCTCACTCACGTTTAAACAGAGAAGCAGGGGTCTCTTAGAAGGAAATACAACTGGTTTATGATCCTCCCAACATGTCCATTTCCCTCTCCCCTTCTACCAGTATCTCCCCTGCTTTACTGAGGAGCGCGTCCTGAGCGACTCCATTCGCACCAGGTTACAGACAGCAGAATGAACTGTGATGACACAGCTCTGAATACTGGCCACCTTTGGAGGTGGCGGTGGGCACGTGGGGTGGGGGAGCTGACTAGGAGCGGGTAAGAGGGAGCCTCTGAAGAGCTAGGGAAGCCCTGAATCTTGATCTGGGAAGTTAAACAGTTGTGGACGTCTACCCCTAAGATTTATTCACTTGACTCTTCAGTTATACATAAAAACAAACCAAAAGTAATCTTGGAAGAAGCTTCTCCAATCAAAACACTTTGCCGCTCAGATACTCCTTTCCATTTCTGTGAAGTACTGCCTGTCACAAATGTGACTCTGACACTCTTGACATGAAATGGCAACTGAAATTTTCTAGCTCCTTAGAAACTCTTTCCACCCTGTAGAGATCTCCCAGGCACACGGATCAGTTTATCTTTCAAATTTCCATTTCCCTCTGTTTTCAGGCTTCGGCTTCCTTGTGGCTTAATCACCCATCCCACCCGCCCAAGGGGGCGGCAGTCATTTTTTTAGTAGGACAACCCTTCAAGGGATATGACTTTGGGCGGCTTTCAAAAGAAGCTAATGAAAATTCGGCCCCTAAATCCAGCCTGGCTGTGTGCTGTTCAAACAGGAGCCCCAGGGGCATCGCCGGAACAAAGGAGCTGAAGTTTACTCTGAAAGTTCCAATGACTTTATTTGTTAAAACTATACTTCAATTTAAAAAAAAGTTGAAAAAAGAAGCCTATAAAAAAAAAACACACACCCCCATCTTACGTCATGTTTCACTATCAAGTTGGACTGTGTTACCTCTTTTACTGGGAAAAGAAATAGGTTTCTTAGGGATGTTTCCAGAAAAGCACATCAATAGTAAAGTATTTATCTATATTATTTGATATTGTAATTCATCATGTACACTAGAGCAGCGAAGAAACTGAATACAAATCATAACTTCCCGCAAATTTCAATCTGGGTTTAAAATACATGTATTTATATCACACACACACACACACACACACACAC